TATATATATATATATATATATATATATATATATATATATATATATATCGTGTATGTGTGTATGTATATAAATAAATATATATATATATCTACCATACATATTCTAAAAAAAGAGGAATTTGTAAAAATTTTAAGAAGTTAATACCTGAATATTTCATTTTCTTTCTTCTCACCCTATAAAAATAGGTAAATAAATAAATAAATAAACAATATAAATGTAAATAAATATACTTCTGTACTATAAATATATTTAGTCTATATATTTAGATGCAAAACTGGTTCTTAATGAGATTTTATAAATTTCATAGCACAAATAGGGGGCTATACTTATGTAAATCTATGTGTACAGGAGCAAAACCATGGACACAGGTACACAGACTCACACACACTTGCAATCTCTTTGTCTCTGTGCAAATGCACACATAATCTCTCCCTTTATCTGTCTCTCTTTCTCTTCCTTTTCCTCTCCTCTCCATGCTTGCACACGCACACGCACACGCACGCACACACACTCACACACGCACACACACACACATTACACACACACACACACACACACACACACACATACATACATACATACATACATACACACACACACACACACACACACACACACACACACACACACACACACACACACAACACACACACACACACACACACACACACACACACACACACACACACACACACACACACACACACACACACACATATTCACTCACGCACATATTCACTCACCCTAATTCATTCACTCACTCACTCACTCACTCATTCATTCACTCACAACCTGTATTTCTATTCCATTAAAAACAAATACACTGTGTTTCACTCACACACATGCATGCACACACACAAGCACGCACTCACTCACACTATATATTCCATTAAAAACAAATATACTGCTTAGAGCATTATGATTCACATGGAAGACAATACTCTGTAACACAAAGACACGTAGAATTTATATACACAATGCCATAAGCTTTGGTGTTGGAATCACAAGGGTATTTGAGTGTAGCAGCATAGATCTGATGCAATGCAAAAAGCTGAAGGCAAACCTTGTTATACAGGATTCTTGCCCCTTTTTTTAAGAATTGAAGTTACAAAAAAGTCTCAGGTATTTACTCAGTTGTATAAGACATAGTGCATAATTCATATAAAATAAATATAAAAATATAGATAGATAAATAAATAAAAATCAAGGACAAGAGAAAAAGGTTATTCCTCTACTCTTCAAACAAAATATGCTCCTTAAACCCTGTCCTAGATTCTCAGCAACTAGCATCAACAAACCATTAATGTTATAAAGTGCATAAAATCAAATGGATGCAAGATTTCCCTACATTTATAACTTTTCTTTTTGAAAACATAACACATAACAATGCAAGTCAACGTTGCAGCACACATTGCAGCAAGTGAAGATTTGGGTATGTAGTTGGCACAGAGATCAGTGCCAGGACAGAGCAGAGGGTGAGAGAGCCAAGCACTACATCAACAAAAGATGGACACTTTACCTTGCCCAGCCGGAAGCTTGTGAGTGAGATGACACATAGTCAGATTTAACTGCATTAGTTTAAGGCCATAAAGCTAATCTTATTCACACTACAATTTTTTGGCATATTTATTTACACCCACTTAACCAATACTGCTAGAAACAGGAATGTGATCCCTCTGGGTAAGGCTCTACATCTGTTTGAAAGAAGTTATCCTCTCTTCATGCCCAAAGCACTCTGGACAAGAGGTTTTGATTTTATTTTGGGGTCTCTAATCCTCGTGCTACTTCATAGTGGGAAGAGAATTAAGTATTTATCTTTAAAGGGATTTAGAGATTTGGTGATGTGAAGCTAGTACACAACTGTGTCATTAAAAAGAAATTATCAAAACAAAAATGCTTAAAAAGTCTAACTATATTCGATGTGTATAAATACTGTATATATAAAAACTATGGGGGAGAGAAAAAGGATATTGTGGCTATATTGGTGCAACTGGCAAGAAACTATCAAGACATGTGTATGAAAGTATCATTAAAAGCCACAGCCTTACAGAAAAAAATATGCACAGTAATAACCCTTATTTCCTTTCTTTCTTGGGGTAAGATATGCCACTTAAATGTAACAAGCAAAATAATCCCCTTCAGCCAGAATTAACAAAAAGTATAAGTGTGAATGGAACCTATTGCTAAAACCCGTGGTTCTGTGGAATAATCTCCACCCCTTTTGCCTCACCTGACAGTTGGTCCAAGTCCATCATCAATGGACGCCGCTCGCGAGAGGCTGGATCCAGTGAGTGTGGGACGAGAGGAACGCTCTGTCTGTGTAGCAGCGTTCACTGTGTTTGTTGGGGCTTCGGCATCAGTAGGATTGCAAGTCGTTTTTTGGCTCACTAAACTCTGTGCTAATTGCTGTTGTAAGAGCCTTATGGTGCGGTCTCGTTCTTCCAGTTGTTGTTGCAGGAGCACTACCTGCAAGTTACCAAAAAAGATCTTGTGAATAATCAAAAATTTTCTAATGTTATCTACATTTGCACTACATGCAAAAGATGCTTACTTAGTGAATATGTATTGCAAGCTTCACTTGCATTACAATTGTTTTGATTCCTTTTTGGTCTTTCCTCCACTAAAACTGATCCTTTATCAAAGCAGCAACCTGGCTGAAATATGCTAGCGCTTCAAAGAGAAGGCAGAACAACAAGGTTGAGAAAAACTGAGAAGCATACTTGTCTCCGTAAGTCAATGTTTTCCTGGGACAGCTCAATCACTGATGGTGTAAGAGAATCTTTATCGCCATTGATCCCACAGCCTCCGGGAGAGTCACTGCTGGCTAGGCTGAGATATAATGAGTTCTGGAAAAGAGAAAAATAAATATTAAAACAAAATAATGCAAAAGGAGCACTGTACAGAGTTTTTGAGTAAATACAAGCATGGATGTTCTTTCTCTCATCCCCCCCAAAATAGCAATTCAACCTATCACCTCATGCTAAATAAGATCAAAAGCACCAGCCACGTACCCGTAGATTGGCATCAAATGGATTTATGGTGTCGGCAGCCTGAAGAACTCTTCTGAGACGCAGCAGCATGGTTTTCAGGGCGGTGACATCCTGGCACATGTAGTGATATGAAGTGCGGTCGATGCAGACTCCACCTCCCTCACCTTCTGATAAGCCACCCTGAGGGATACACAAAGCATTTTAGTATTTCTATTCGCTGCAAAAATTTTAAAGCTTAAATCATATCTATCCATTACAAAAATATAATGCTTAACCTATATCATAAGGATAAATTCATAAAAAAAAGTCAAAAGTATAATAAATAAATAAATGAAATGCATTATCTCTCCTCAAAGATAAATAATTCACATAATATAAACAGCTTTTAAAGTTTCACACGTTGTGGCTTTTCAAATGAGTAACATTTCTAGATAAACCCTAGATTGACTAATTCGCATTTTCAGTGTGTGTGTGTGTGTGTGTGTGTGTGTGTGTGTGTGTGTGTGTGTGTGTGTGTGTGTGTGTACGTGTGTGTACATGCATGTGTGTGCGTGTACATGCGTTTGTGTGCACATGTGGGTGCATGTGTATGTGCTTGTGTGTGTGTGTGCATGTACGTGTGTGTGAATATGCATGTGTATGTGCATGTGCATGTGCATGTGTATGTGCATGTGTGTGTGTGTGTGCATGTGTGTATGTGTGTGTGTATGTGTATGTGTGTATGTGTGTATGTGTGCATGTGTATGTGTGTGTGTGTATGCATGTGTGTGTGCGTGTGTGTATGTGCATATGTGTATGTGTGTGTGCGTATGTGTGCGCATGTGTGTGCATGTGCGTGTGTGTGTGTGTGTGTGTGTGTGTGTGTGTGTGTGTGTGTGTGTGTGTGTGGTGTGTGGTGTGTGTGTGTGTGTGTGTGTGTGTGCGTGCGTGTGTGTGTGTCTGTGTGTGTGTGTGTCTGAGCGTATGTGTGTGTCTATGTGTGTGTCTGAGCGTGTGTGGTCTGTGCGTATGTGTGTGTCTGTGCTGTATGTGTGTGTCTGTGCATATGTGTGTGCATGTGCGTGTGTGTGCATGTGTGTGTGTGGTGTGTGTGAGTGTGTGAGTGTGCGTGTGTGTGAGTGTGCGTGTGTGTTTGTGGGTGTGAGTGGGTGTGCGCGCGCGCGCACGCGCGTAAGTATGTATGCATATATTCAAGTGTATAAGTATCCGTGTCTGTGTCAATGTCCAAAATCATGTGTGTCTGCCTATAGTATTCATGTTCATGTCATTGTGCGTGTGCTACCGTCTCTCTCTTCCTCTTCCTTTCATCCTTTCTTCCCTCCCCCTCCCCCTTCCCCTTCTCCCCCTCCCTAGCCCTTACCTGCCGCGGCGGTCTGAGCACGGTGGGCCGCCTGGGGTCCGGCGAAGACACGTCCGAGGAGCTGTTCAGCCGCGGCCGCGACGTCCGCCCACCTCCGCTGCTGCCATCTCGAGACACACATCTGCGGGAGAACGTGGAGGTTCGGTTAGGGTTTCGGAGTTTGGAAAAAAAGAGAAAAGAAAAGAAAATCGAACGAGTGTATTGCGTTATAACAATAGTGTGGATATTTGTTCGGATATGCCTTAGGGGGGAAAATGGATATGTGTTTAGGAAAACAATGGATATTTGTTTAGGGGAATAAAAGCGAAGGAGTATGTAAATTTGCGTTGATTAGTCATACGTATATTGTCCATGGCTTTACCCCGATTTCTTCATTCAAATTATATAAGTTCTACGTCTGACAGCAATCCCTTTTCACAGACGTAAAAACTGAAGTAAAAGTGCGCGCGTGGAATGACACCAGTTTATTAGCTCAGGGCGCGCAAGAAACCACAACAATTTCCCTAATAAACTGCGATGCTGACCTTGCCACTCCCTTTCTATAGCTTTATGGTTTCCTCTGTTGCAGAATTGTTAGCTCGGGGGAACTATAAAGTAGACGATTTTTCGTGTGTGAACAAACATAATCTGGAACAGTTTATAATGCGAATGTCAAACTAAACTCCAGACATTACCCTTTCCTTCATCCCCATAAACTAATCAAAAACCCCGTACCACACAGAAAAATAAATAAATAAAATAAAACATTTTTACCAACAGAAACCAAGAAAAACTAGAAGTACTCAGAGAGCACATACCTCCGTCAAGACAATAGGGTCACTGATGCCATAAAAAGAAATATTCACACGTTCAGAATTCCATTAAAATCACCTCTTTCTCAAGTACACTGGTGACGTCCTATCTTCCCTTATCTCGCAATGCTAACGAATCCTTTCATTACAAAATCCTGGATCCGGATCATCAGTTTTTGAGTCATCCAACTACCCAACAGCCTAACCACCGCTACCAAAGACACGACCTCCTCCTCTGAATGGCCTCTGCGCACGTAATGACCAATCAGCACCTCGCCAATGGCACCCCTTATATGGCCGCGCTTCCACTCGCCCCTGCCCTGACCGCGGCGCCAGGTGTACGCGAGACTAGGGTGCACCTCGTGACGTAACCCTTTCTTAAATCTCATTCGATACGATGGGGTAACAACAGCATGACGCCTCGTTCTTTTTTTTTTACATTCTATTCTCTCTATTTTCTTTAAAGAGTAACTGGAACGGTTTGGTACCTGTTGTTTATTGTTTCGTTGCGTGTGGCTGGTATATTCGCCATCTTGAGTAGAGGTTTCTTTAATACACACAAAAGATCACGCCCCCCCCAAAAAAAAAAAAAAAAAAAAAAAAAACTTGAAGGACGACCGATGAACTCGATCCAAATTTCCCAAAAGAGAGAAGCGCAGACTCACATGATCAGCATGGAAGAGCAGTACTGGAAATACATTCCAGCGACGGCATTCACGCGGCCGCCGACGCAACTCGGGCCACAGCTGCGACGCACAAACAAACCGAGCTCGCCAAGGGTGCTGTGCAGCTCTCAGCTTTCATGGGTTATACTATGCTCTACGCCGGCTGCGGCTGTTTCACGCGCGCCGTCCGTTATTAGCATAAAGAAAGGGAGCAAGTGCGGCGCGGCGCCGAATAAGGAGACTTGCACGAGGAAGAAAGTAGGGATCTCGAACAAGCTCGCGGAGCCCTTCTCTTCCTTCGGCAACTCAGGGGCATAATCTCCTCCACATTCACAAAGCGGGGATGCCCGTCTCTGTAATTCACTTCCTAAACACTGGCTTTATCGACGACAATGGCGCTGGCGTCGCAAGACAACGCTCACAGTGACATGACATGACACTTCAACACTCGTAGCCCCCATCGGTCTATCCCTCTCGAGCGTGCCAACACACTCCCTCTAATGAGAGCAAGGTCGCGACGCCCGCCCCGCAAGCACCAGACACACGGGCGGCAAGCACAAGCCCAGCGCCCTGCCAGCGAGGAGATGAGCGCACGTCAGTCCCCGCCACACACGGAACGGTCTCTCCTCGCCTCCTCCCGGGAGTGGCTTCACTCCTCTCTCTCTCTGATCTTCCGCCCCCCGCCCCCCTCCCCCTGGCCCTCCCTCAGCGCCACCCTACACTTCTCACGGCGGGCCAGGTCGGACAGGTTCTCCGGGTGGCCACCGGAAGCGCCGCCCACAAGTGCTATGTTGCTATGGTTGGCCCGGCGGATACCCGACACCCGCGGGCAGAACCGGAGCGCGGGAATCTCACGCTGCTTCCAACGCCCATCATCACCCAAACGCCGGCGTGTAAAAACGAGCGTCGAGCGGCCTTCACGACCGACTCTAGGCCTACAAATCCCCTTAAAGCGCAGATAAGCAGGAGGAGGGGGCCGGGGGATGCCCAAGGGGGGGGGGGGGTGCGTGTGGAGGAACCTCGTGCTGCCCCCGTACATGGCCGGGCACTCCGCCTGCCGCCCAGCCAGGGGCCAGGCGGGCGAGGGAGAGGGGGGGAGGGCGAAGGGAAAGGGGGCGAGGGTGGGGGAGCGAGGAAAAGGGGGGCCGAATAAATTATCTCTTTGCTGCCGTCTCGCCCTCAACTACATTAATTGCGTGTCTGCCACATGGTAATCCACTCCCCCCACCCCCCGCGGAAATTATCCCGAAGCAAAAATGTTTATGATTCCGTTGCGAAAAAGATTCCCGCGCGAAAAAAACCTTCTTCGCTACAGTTCCCGCGACGCCGATATTTTTCTGCGTCGCGCGGGAAAGTCGAATCGCCTTCGCTTCTCATTCCATGCTGACCCTCCTCTTTCTTTCTTTCTTTCTTTCTCTCTCTCTCTCTCTCTCTCTCTCTCTCTCACCCCTCCCTCTCCCATTAACTGCCATTCAGCGCACACACCATCGGCGCTTTCTCTCTTATGACATGACCGCCATGATACCACCTCTATGACACCATCACCATGACACGTTAAATATGACCAATATCATGGCACCAAAGCTGACACCACCACTATGACACCATCCCCAGGAACCAACGCTAAGACATCACCATAATACCAGTGTCACTGACATCCCACTATGACATAGTCGCCACAATACTAAACCAATGACACCGCAATGTCACAATCAAAATCACAACACCAAACCAACAACAATACAACACCTAACCAAAGACACCTTTACACAACACCAAACCAATGACAACCGCCACCACAATACAACACCAACGACACCGCCACCACAGTAAAACACCAAACCACCGCCACACAATACAACACCAAACCAATAACACGCCACACAATACAACACCAAAACCCACGACACCGCCACCACACCAAACCAATGACAACCGCCACCACAATACAACACCTAACCCACGACACCGCCCCACAACACCAAACCATAGACACCACCACCGCGACCCCCCCCCCCAACCCGTCCCAAACTGCCACTCCATTCACTCCGGCCAACCCCTCGCGCCGGCCAACCCCCCCCCCGCTACCGTGCGCTCTCAACCATACACATGCACGCGCGAACACACAGGGGGCGCACGCACAAAAAAAAAACCCGGCGTTATACGACTACACATACGCACACACGTACATAAACCTGTTCCATGTTTGCAATTATATAATCGGCGGACCTGGAGTCGTTACGCCTCTAAACACGACGCGAACAAGATTTTTTGGCATGCGTCGCCACTTGCATGAATCTGGACCGTAATAGAGCTCTACAACGGTTACGTGCGTCCGTAATACGATAATACATACATATTATATATATACATATATATGTGAGCTAAATGTTTATCAATGTTATGAGCGTAGATATATAATGCACACATATATGTTTATATTATTTGTGCAAGGGAGGGAGAGAGAGAGAGAGAGAGAGAGGGAGAGAGAGAGAGAGAGAGGAGAGAGAGAGAGAGAGAGAGAGAGAGAGAGAGAGAGAGAGAGAGAGAGAGAGAGAGAGAGAGAGAGAGGAGAGAGAGAGAGAGAGAGAGAGAGAAGAGAGAGAGACGAGAGAGTAGCAAAGTAGAAGGAATCACTGGACGACGGATCCACTCGCACCGCATCTCGAAAAGGCCGGGATAAAACAAAACAAAGAAAATAAAAAAGGCCAAAATAAAAAGAAATAAAGGTGAAAGAATAAAAAAAGAACAAGAAAATTAAATAATTAAAGGCGAAAGAATAAAAAAAAGGAAAAAAAAAGAAAAACGGGAAAAATCTGGAGCCCGCGCCGTGCACAACATCCGGCGTCCGCGAGTCTGGCGCTGCGAGGCGTCTTCTCCCGTGCGGGGCTGCGCCGCTCACATCCTGCGTGGTTGCGACGCCCGTGCGACGCCACGCTATCAACTGCCGCCCCTTCTATCTCTGTCTGTCTGTCTGTCTCTATCTCTTCCTCCCTCCCTCCCTCTCTCTATCTTCCTCCCTCTCTTCTCTCTCTCTTCCTCCCTCCCTCTCTCTCCCTCCCTCCCTCCCTCCCTCTCCCCTCCCTCCCCTCTCCCTCTCCTCCCTCCCTCCCCCTCTCCATCTCTATCCCCTCCCCCCTCCTTCTTCTTCCCACCTACCCCAATCAGATCAATCAGAACATCATTAAATACAACAAAGTACCCAAGACCCATATTGGGAGCGCGTCTCGCATTCCTGTTGCAAGAAATCTGTATTGCAGTGCAACATCCTGCAAAAAAAGTCCTTCCCGCGGGCTAGGATTCCACAGGGCACAGTCACCTCCTGAAAAAATGCTCGGGCGACGGGAAGCGCGCAAAAAAGGAAGAGAAGAAACACGGTGGGAGAGAAAGAATGAGATTAGAAATTATGGGAAAGGAGGGAAAGAGAGCGAGAGAGATTGATAGAGGGGGAGGGAGAAGGGGAGGAGAGAGAGAAGAGAGAGAGAGAGAGAGGAGAGGGAGAGAGAGAGAGAGAGGAGAGGGAGGAGGGAGGGAGGGAGAGGGAGAGGGAGGGGAGGGGTAGGAGAGGAGAGGAAGAGGGAGGGGGAGACGGAGAGGGAGAGGAATAGGAAGATAGATAGATAGATAGATAGAGAGAGAGAGAGAGAGAGAGAGAGAGAGAGAGA